CTAGGTCTAGACAGTGATGAGGGCCAGGATAAACTAAATGCAGGGAAAAGTGTAGTTTAAAAACAAAGTACAGAAATAGTTTTAAGGGTAGGCTAAATTGTTACTATTCTAATGCCTAGAAATAAAAATAGCTTACTTTAGATCACTAGTTGGAACAGAGGATTTTGATAGTATGGGAGTAACTAATGCTTGGTTACATGTAGACAAATTGAATGATAGAAATGTCTTTGAAATACAAGTTTTAGGTTGTTTAATAAGAATAGAGTACTAAAGAGATGGGAGGAGTGCTTTATAAATATGTAAAATTTGAGTTACATCCTGTTGAAGTAGAAGATATCAAAATTAAGTAAGAAGGTTTAATCTATTTGAGTTCTGTAAATGGATATGTGGGGAGAAGGCTTTTAATTGGAATTTACAATTGGCTTCCAAATGGAATGAATTGATGAAATTAATGAAAAATTACACTGAAATAGAGAATTCGGCAGTTAATGAAGTTATAATTAGGGGAAATTTTAATTTCTGGCATACAGTTTGGGAAATTTTAGTCAAACCATGGGGGGTGAAGTTTTGAGGATGATTTTTACTCATCAGTTGGTCAGGAAACCACTAGGAACAATGCTATTTTAAATTTGTTAAATTCCTATGTAGTAATGGTTGAAAGGGTGGAGATTAGGGAAAAGTTGGGTGAAATAAGTTGGCAAACAATTGTTTATAAACATAATAAAGTGACTTACTTTTAGGGAAATGTACATGTTTTGACAGAACATTAGTTTGTTGAAACATGTACGTTTCCCCCAAAATAAATCAACTTTATTATGTGTATAAATTGTTGCTTGTTGACTTATTATCATGTGCTTCCTGGGTACAACTAATCAATGTTTAATTAGTTTGATGTTTTATTGTATATGAGAGTAGGAATAATGAAACTTTGTTTACAAATTTCAATAAAGCAAGTTTTGAAGGGATGCAACAAGAATTAGCTGTTGTGAATTGGGCAATTGTATTAATTGGAGATATGTATAAAATGTGGAAAAATTTTAAAAGTAAACCTATAACTATTCAAGACGGATACATTCCTTATAGGGGGGTAGTGGCTGCTGGTAAAAGATTGGGTTGGCTCGCAAAGGGTATAAGGGATAAAATTAAAGAAAAGCATTATAAATTTAAAATTTAAATTGACTGCTATGAAAGGAAAATTGAGAGATATCGAAAATCAAAGGTGTTGGTTAAACAGGACATTGGCAATTGAAAAGGGTATATGAAAGAGAGGTTGGCTGAAAAAATAAACATTTACAGTAAGGATTTCTTTAATTATATTAAGGGTAAAGTAATGCTACAATGGGAGAAGAGGTTTTGAGGGAAGACAAATTTTTGATAATTATGAGATAACTGGTCTATTAAATTGTAATTTTTCTTCAGTTTTTACTTTAAACAATATTACTCATTCTGAACAGTTGCTAGATGAAAGTATGATTGAACAAGATGATCACATTATTTATGAGTTCAAGAAAAAATTGGGAAGTTTAAAGAACAATAAGGCTCCAGGACTAGATAATATTTCCCCAGGGGATTTGAAGGAAGTTAAAAATTAGATATGTGAGCTATTTGCTAATATTTTTTGGGAATCCCTGAATAGTGGGCAGATGCCAGAAGACTGCTCTTTTCAAGGGAGGTGATAAAATTGTCCAGGTAATTAAAGGCATATTAGTTTTGTCATTGGTGGGAAAAGTATTTGAAAGTTTAACATTTTGTTGGATAGCGAACAGTCTTGCTTTGCTAATCTTTTGACATTCTTTGAAGAAGTCATTGCTCATGTAGATGAAGATAAAGATATGTATTTGAAGTATCTGTATTTTTCAGAAAATATTTAACTAAGGTTATTGAAAATATTCTCCATAGATATGAGGGCCTAAGTTAGATTGAAATATGGCTAAATGTAAGGAAGTGGAGGGTTGGTATGAGTAAAGTTCAGTCAAACTGGGTTAATGTCACAAGTGGGGTACCTCAGGGCTCAGTGTTTGATCTTTTTGATTTACATCAGCGATGTAGATGGAAAATTGGTCAATACATTGCTTAAAATTGATGATGATATTAAGGTATTGAGTGTCAAGAGGATGCTGTTGCTTTACAAAATAATTCAGATTATTTGGTGAGTTGAGAGAATAAATGATAAATGGCTTTTAATTATAATAAATACAAAATAGTACATATATAATATCATAAATTGAATTATGGATATAATTTTGGTGAGAATAACATTAACACTGTTATGGAAGAAAAATATTGTGGTGGTTAATTGATTTGTCTTTTAAGCCATCCAAACAGAATACAGTTGCTAGTGGTAGGACAAATAGGAGCTTAGGCTGTATTTTCAGAAATATTTAATGTAAGACTAAAGAAGGTAGAATTTCATTGCATAGATCACTAGTTAGGCCTAACTTGTAGTATTGTGTTCAGTTTTGTGTTTCTTACCTTAAGGACACTAAGTTGTTGGAAAGGGTTCAAAACAGCACTACTGAGATGTTATGTTGAATGGAAAGGTGTAATATGAGGACAGGTTGAAAAAAGAAGACCTAGAATGGATTTGATTGAGGCATTTAAGATTGTTAAAAGAATTGATGTCAATGCATCATTTTTTTTTGTACTTAATGGTAAGAATGGAAGGATAAGAGGGGACTGTAAACAAATTTTGGCAGGTATGACTCATCTTCAGCTAAGATAGTATTTCTTTACTAGTAGGGTGGTTGGACTTTGGAATGGATTGCTTTCAGATTTGGCAGATCCAGTAGTATTAAGGGTGTTAAAGTAAAGCTTTACATATATTTAATAACATCTGGCTTTGAGATTTGTTTTTCAAGTTCATTTTAATGGATAAGACAGCATTGGTGGATCAACAGGCCCTTTGTAGGCAAAACTAAATAGAAAAAAAATCACAAGATTTGGGAGATTTTTATCAGATAAATTACCTGAAAAGGAATGTATTTCATTCTACAAGTTTATATTTTCCTGATACAAACCCATTTATAAATTAATAGATTTTGGTAAAACTATGCTTTAATTAGTGATTTCCACAGTTTTCATGAATGATTTATTTTTTCAATTCAATCCCAAGCTGATGATTCATGTGAATTCATGCTTACTTGTGTTAGAATTAAAAAATCATTAAGTTCTTCAACAGTTTTGCTGTACCCCCAATCTCTGAAGTATGGAGCACACTATACCTACAACTTGAAAAATTTAGTCAGTTGGTCAACAGATGTTCCCTTCTTAACTTACTAACAAAGTGTGATTAGCTGGTTATAATAAAACACCCTGATGGAAACACTTTAAAATTTTCTGAAACTTTGCATCATTCTCTAATAGCTGTAGCAGGCAACACAATCAACAATGATTCAGAGCACTTGTTACAACAAAGCATTCTAGTTTCTAAGAAAAGCAATTCAGAGTAAGACAAGGGATCTTCAGATGTTTGATCTATGTGTACTGAAGCTGTCAAAAAGTATACAATAAAGACAATCATCATATTCAAGGTGTATGGTTAAAAATATTAATTGAAGGTTGTTTTAATTGAGGCCCTGGTGGATGTATAGTCATGTACTTATATTTCTGACTCAGTTTATCTACAGTAGTGAATAAAAGCAAAAAAACCTTTATTAGGGAATGTAATGCTGGTGTCCGAGATATTGCATAGTATAACTTGTTTTTTTTTATGTTGTTAAATGTACATTGACACAGTGCTTAGATAGAACTGGCTCTAAAATTGAAAAAGATGTGTTGATAATAATACTTGATAAATTAATATTGACTACATTGTGCTTATGTGCTTATCTCTGAACTCCTTTCCTTCTCAACAAAACATAAATACAAATGCCCAGATATTCTTTATTAATTGTAGATCATGTTTTAATTTACCCATAATTCTCCACTCTCCCACCTTCCACATGACTTATTGCACCAGCATCAGGAGATCTTATAAGCTTTGCATTCCTGCCATAATTTAAATTTTGTTGTTGACAGTTACAATATTACCATTGCTACAATGTTCTGTCTGATGCATTTACTTCCCCAACTCTTAATATTGGAATTGCTGTAACTTTGTTGGAGGTCTTACTTGCAAAGTTTGTCAGTAGCATGCTGGATAAAATTGATGTATTATCAGCTCTAATGGTTCAGCATATTTGTTCTATTGTGTATACTGATGTTCCTGGTGGGAATAATGATCATGTGGATGCTTAATTTATGTAACACTCACCATTGTTGTTGTGTGTTTTATTTTTTTTTAATTTTATTATGAAGGTTTTTTTTTTGTTGTTGTTGTTGTTCAGGCCTAACATTTTTCCTGGAATGTAGAACTGGATTTGACTGCTACAGTGTTAGTTCTAATCCTGATGCTTCTGTGGTTTTATTTCTTCCTCTCAAGTGGTATGGTCTGTGTTTTAAATAATGAACCTATTTCAAATTACCTTAAGGTGCTTGCATCATATGAGAATTTCTGTATTTCAGTATTTTTTTTATGAGACATTCTTCTGATGCACAATTGTTGATTATTCTTGTTCTCCTTATTATTTCAATCTGAATCACATACCTGCTTTAATGTCTTTATTATCTATGGGTCTCATTGCTATTGTTTTTATCACTACTTGGCTTTTACATTCTTTTTACACTTTAGCCCAGTGAGCTGTGGTGCAGGATACTCATCTTTGAACTAACTGATCCCATATAACTGTAATCAACCATTGCTAGATGGCTCTCTCTCATATATAACTAATTAAAAAGTTGTTATCACTTCAAGATGAGTATGTATAAGAAAACCCAAATCTTTTGTTGTTGTTACCAAACTGTTCTTTATTTACAAAAACTCTTCTTCACACCATTTCTCAGTAGCATCACAGGCTACTCTTCAGTATAAAAGCTATGAAAACCAGAAAACAAACACTTTTTTGAAACTTAAATTTAGTACTTTTAAAATTTATATAAAATATACAAATTTTATTTTTCAGTATAACGCCTGCCAAATGAGCCAGCCCAAAATCTTTTAATAGTGAGCCAAGGACAGTGAATGGACCATTGCGGAAATAGGTGATTTAGGGTTATTTCGATAGATCTCAACGAATGAAGCTTGATAGAACTTTTAAAATAAAAATTAAATATTAATGAAAATATGACACAATGAAATCTATATGGATTATACTATGGTGGTATCTAACAAGGCATTATACCATCCTTTTTACATTTATTCTTCATTGCAAAAATGACATTTTTAATTTGAGAATCACTAGGGAAGACATCTTTTAATGGATTGTGCATCTGCTTCAACTTCAGTGCTGCAGCTTTAGGCTTTACTGTACCATTAGTTTCACAAAATATTGAAACTAATGATTTCTTATGATTCCAATCCCCCTTTTTTTAAGTTAACAATACTGTTGTTTCGATTTTTCTATATTTTGCTCTCAACACAGTAATCAATTGCCAAATCTCCAATTGGGATATCTTTGAATAAAGTTTTCTCTTATCTGACCTGGACTGATATTGTATCTTAATTTCTACACTTAAACCATCACATTTACGACCATATCTAGAACATTTTGAGCATGTTTCATTACTCCATCATTTTATGTTACATTTACAAGTTAACTTCTCCATGTTGACTCTCACAGTCTCGGGTCTCATCCAGTGACCTAGACCTCAAATAGTGCCAACTGTCTTCTTTTTGTCTAATAAAAAGAACCCAAACCTTTTAGGAATGACTAATTTTTTTTGGATACACATCAAGATGCTGGGGTTGATTATGTGGCAGGAGTTGTTGATGATGTTGTTTTTTTAATGCATTGACTCTTTTTCTGGATGACTCCTCCGTCCAGATGTTTAGAGGCTGTCTCTTATTTTGTTTCATTTTGAGTTCTTTATGTTCATCAGATTCTTCATTTTGATTTTGGATCTGGAGGTTTTTAACCTTTTCCACACCACTGATATGAATGTTGAACTTTGTTTACCCAGGATTTTTACTATTTTTTTTCCGTGTGTGCCAAAGACAACAGAAGATTGGTCTTAGATTTTTCTTCCTATCTAGGTGGAACCTATGAGCATCTTATGAAAGGTACTTTGTCAAGATTTGTTGGATGACTAATGAAATTTCAAATATGTTTATTTCCATGTCCTGATTCACCCATCTTTATTTTCCATATGAAGTGACATCAGTTTATGCCCCACACCATTTGGACCCGGGATTAACATTCTGTTTTCATATATGCAGTCAAACCATAATCTGGTCTTCTGCACACTCAATATCAGTTGTCATCATTACATGGATGATTAGAGAATTCTTGCTTGGTGGTTACCTCACACTAAACTGACCTTCTTCTGTGAGGTGATGGATTGTTCATGTGTCTGAGTCTTGTCTTGTGTCAACACAATTTCTTGATCATTTGAGGTTTTGTATGAACACATTTGGAAATTTTTTACCTGCCAAACATCCATTGTTATCCTTTTCCATGGTGTATGGAATTGTGAATAACTTCAACTTAAAAGCAAGCAATATAAGAGATATAAAGCAATTAAGTACATTCTCTACTTATGAATTGAAAATCTATGTATATCAGTTTTCCAGTCAGAGCTCTTGCATTGTTCTTTAATCTCTGTGTTTGTCCTATGCAATCCAAGTATTTTTATATTGCCCAACACCACTGTTCACAAGTCTGTGGTTAAGAGATTTTTGATTATTTAAAAAAACAAAAAAAATGGTCTTTACTTCTGTGAGACTCCATATATGAAATTGTCCAGTCAGTATTGGTGCATGCCACATATACCTCTGCATTTGTCCTAGATAAAAGAAATTCCACCCTGTATGCTGGAGCTACACAAAAGGGTTTTGTCCATTAGAAAAGAATGTATGGTACTATGTAATGGCTTGTCTTTACAGATAATTTTCCCACTTTTGTATGTGCATCTTTGCATGGCATTAGTGATATTGGAAATGAGACTGCTGTAATCACTAGCTGTCCCAGATATAACCAGGATGGGGATTGTTTGTTTTTATTCTTATCTGCTTATTTCTTTGTTTTGATGTTCCCATTGGATTGTTCTTGTGTTGTTGAGCCCATTATTCAGGACTGCTTGGTTCTTTTTTCTGTTCTCCCTGAGTGTCCATTAATTTAGCTGATTTTATGACACACTAATTTTTGACATGAAGAGGGGCTACTTCCTTTGGGATATGTCTTTTTTTTTATAATATGTGTCTGAACTGCTCCCCTGAGAACTTTCCTTTGCAGGAACAAGACATATTCCTCTTGCCTGTTTATGCCACCATCTGTATCCCACATTTGGTTCCACAGGTTCAGTATGCTAGTACTGCTCACAAAACCCTGCTAAGGTGAATGCCTTCTTTGCAAGTGTTCTTTAGTCTGGTTTCTTCATTTATTGAGACCCACTCCACTCTTTCTCCTTTGAATCTAGTTCTGCAAATTATTTTCTTGATCTGGATTCTACTCCATCTCTGCTTGGCTACATATTTCTTTTAAGCTAGGTCATTATTTTTCTGATATTTTGTTTGATATTTTTGGTTTCTTTTCATATTCATGGGTTTCCACCTCCTTTATAATGTGAGTATCTATCTTTCATTATTTCAGATGCAAGTCTACCTCATTTGAATTTAAAATTAAAGATAATTTCAAACAAGTACAAACCTCTGAAATGCCTTACCCCTCCTCACCTCCTTACAACAGGATTTTCTTCATGACAGCGACTTTAATTAAGATCTAAATTACATTGGGAAATCGGAACATTTGTAAGATCTCCTGACACACTTGCACAATAAGTAATGTGGAAAATGGTATGGTGGAGAATAATAGTTAAGTGATGAATACTCTGCAATGTGTAAAGGATAGTTGGAAATGTTGAGTTACCTTTTTCATTTATTTTTTGACACCATGAGTTCAGTCTCAAGAAGGAAGAACTTTCAGTGTTTCAGATTAAGTACCTGTAAAAAATTCAGTTTAATTCTGAAAATGTACAAAAATTTGTTTGCCAAATTGCCAATACGCAATGTAAAAAAGTTACCTAGCATCAATTTAGGAAGGGGTTTTCTTTCTTAACCATCTCAGATCTGTTATTTCATTAGAAAAGGTGCATGGCAATGCTGGGTTAAAACCATACTAGTATAAGTGGGGAGATAAGCAGCTCCCTTCCACTGTTTTGATCTGTAGCATTAAATGTCACTTTTGTTGGTTGTTGACTTCACATATTTTGCTACCTTTTCACTCAGTTAAATCCTCATTGATGATATTAAAGATGGTAAATTTGAATGGCTGCTAAACTTGACCTGTTTGATTGACAATTAAACTTAATACTTGGAGAGTCCATACAAGTTTATTTACCAAATGTTATCAAAAAAATTGTGCTAATTGACAAAACTAATTTTGAAAAGTTGTTTATTTTTAATGAGGAATTATAATAGTAATATTTTGATTACTTGTGTAATTTAAATTTCAAACAGTAATAATAAGAAACGGTAATTTTGATTAACCATCAGTTCACATGCTTGATCAAATTTACTGACCCAGTTTCATTAAAACTATAAATCCTAATATTTACTATAGTTCTGAATTTACTATTTGTACTTGGCAAACTTTTACTAAATGTTACACAATCTGACTTTCAATAAAGTATTTTCACTGAAGATTTGTATAAATTTTTTGAAACCTATGAATCTGTCTGAATGGAAGGTGATTTTCATGTTATGAATAAAAGTACTTCTAATTTACAGTTTTTTTTATATTTCATTTTCATAACCTCTAGGACCTTCTAAATGAATAAAGTTTTTATTTGGTAAAAGTTTATAGTTTATCTCTTGTGTTCTCTACCCTAACATTAGATGTAGTGAAATCATCAAGGTGCTGTTAAATGAAAATCTGAAATGTATGAAAGAAAACTAATTATTTAAACAGTTCCAACTGCTATTCTTTTAACATCTTTCCTTGTAAGGTTTTATTATTATACTTTGTATCCACTGCTAGTATAGATCTTAAATGCTCTTTACAGTGCACTGATGGCTAATCAAAATGTATACTATTAGACTAACACTCTTGACAGGACTTTACTATCTGCGTTCACTGCACATTCATAACATTTGAGGTAACTACTATTCAATTATTTTGACCAGTTTTATAACTAAACTTCAGTTTATTGATACTAGGTTTATTTAACTACAGCACATACTGAACCAACATATATTTTGAAAATCCAGAGTTTTTTTACTGTAACTTAAATTATGTTGATGATGACCAACTTTGATTTTTGCAGCTAATTTTCTAATTTATTTTTTTTATCTAGTGATAAGACATGATTTTGCAAAAAACAATAACAAAGAAAACTTCAATTTGAAGTTTACTCATCTACAAACTGTATGGGCTTATCTTAAAGTAGGAAAGATAAATGTATTTTTTAGGTTATTGTTATCTGTTACATATTTAAGCACTTGTATTATTTTTGTGATAATTATTAAAAAAACATTTTCTCATTTGCTATTTTCTTTGAAGATGGAAATGGAGATCTTTCACTTTGAGCTAATAACAATGCTTTAATCTATATAAATATAATAGTACTGTCTGTTATATGTCCATGTAACCGCTTTGTAGAGTGTGGATGGATCATCACTAAAATTGGTAGGGAGGTTAATTTGGTTCATGTGGGGGTACATACACATTTTCAGTTTTGCATTTTGTAGTTTTTATGGGCATTTTTTACCACATCATCACTTCCTGAAGATGAAACTTCACCCAATTTTGTATGGAAGTTCATTGGGTCCATAGGGAGATACAAATAAATGTTCAGTTTTGCATTTTGTGGTTTTTATGGGTGTTTTTGCATTTTTTACCACTACTTTTCCCCCCTGTGGATGGATCTTCACCAAATTTAGCATGAACGTTTGGTGGGTCCATGTGGAGGTACATGAAAAATTTTGGTTTCACATTTTGTATCTTGCAGTTTTTATGGGTGTTTTTGAATTTCTTACAATTACATATAAGGGAAGCAACTTTTCATATCCAGAGATAACCTTTCATTAATCATGAATTTACATATCTTCCATCCAGGGGACAGGTACTCCAACTAGTATACAATATAAGCATTCCTACAAAATATAAAGCAAAAAAAGTTGCTCTAGGCAACTTCACTATTTTTTTATACTGGTTACCAGTCCCTTAATGTATTCACTGCACACAGGATGTATATTTCCCAGTTCACTGGGAATGTGTCTCAGCCACAGTAAAACAGTTAATGACTTGTTCCAAACATTGATAAAGTCTGCCAAGACTGTAAAGATAAGATATATTAACAGTATTCAAACATTTTGGAATACATTTATTGCTTCATTAACAAAGTCTGAAAACAAGATGTAATGATATTGTAAGTGCAAATTAAGGAAATTGTATATGAACATGAAGCTTGGAAAACATTAAAGAGGAATAAGCAGTAGAAATGATCTTAAAATTAACAGAAAAACAAACTGTTATCATAAAAAACAGTAATTAAAAAATAAAATTAATACAAATGTATTGTGAAATGCTTGGCTTGTGTAATTTTTTTTCATCCTTACAATCATCTTTGTCTTCATTAGTAAATTACACAAGTTGCAGTATTAACTGCACTTTTATTGTGACCAAAGATTGTCACAGATGTGGAAAAATTGCTTGTGATTTGAATAACACCCTTATGATATACTTACTCTGATGTACTTTATTGGTTAAGTTTTATTTTGAGGTTTAATCTACATTTAAATTTTAATGCATAAAATATTTTAGCACGGAACTTTTTTAAATTATAAACTAACATTGCATAGAATTTCAGACAGAGAAAGTAACTCTGGAAGTGTATGTGTCAAAAAAGGGTGAAAAATTGCTGTTGTAAATCTACTTGATCTTTTTATAATATTGTAGGTTTCTGAAACTCATCATGGCAACAGATATGGTTTACAAAGATCATTTTTCAAGTATTGTATCTCGAAGTGGTAGTGGAGGAAAGGACAGGAAAGATGCACAACAAAATGTTTTTCGACCAACAAGGAATGGTAGAGCAAGCCCAACACACAGTGCTCATGGTTGTTTAATGAGAACCAGTTTACAGAAACTCAGCCAAGAGAAGAAGGCCAAAAAAGTGAAGTTTTATAGAAATGGTGACAAGTTTTTTAAGGGTTTGTTTTATGCTTTGTCATCAGAGCGAGCAAGGACGCATGAGGCATTGTTGGAAGATTTAACAAGGTGCCTGGTTGACCAAGTGAATCTCCCAAAAGGTGTAAGATATATCTTTAGTGAAGATGGAAAAGAAAAAATAACTTCACTTGATCAGTTTCGAGATGGATGTTCATATGTATGCTCATCTACTGACAGTTTTGAAAAACTAGATTACAGCAGAATTTCGCATCGCATCTGGAATGTACAAAAGAAACAGGAAGAAGACTTATCTTCTTCTCGGTCAGAGCAATCTTCAGAAAATTCAGTCAAAGACTCCAAAGAATTCATTAAGCCAAAGCTAATAACTGTGATAAGAAATGGTGTAAAACCTCGTAAGGCTGTACGGATTTTACTAAATAAAAAGACGGCAAGGTCATTTGATCAAGTTTTAAACGATATTACAGACTCCATCAAGTTGGATAGTGGTGCCGTACGTAAAGTGTTCACTTTAAATGGAAAGCAGGTAAGTGTAAATCAGATAATATAAGCATTATATAGTTGCTTTATGTAATAAATGTTCTTTGGTTGCACACCTGAGTTTAATAGTACATTGTTCACATTGCATCTAGTACACTGTATAATGCAAATACTGGTTCTAATTAACTTTTTTATATTACAAACCTCACCTTAGTCTTATTAGTAGTAAATATGCTCTTGTGTACACTTATAATAACTGTTATTCAGTTCATAACCAAGCTGAGACTTCTTGTATATAAAACTTAGCTACTTAGTATGTTATGGTTCCTGTCTTATTTTTATATAAAGCTTAAGAATTGATTTTTTTGGGCATCAAATAAAGAATTTCTCTCAGTTTATCATCCCAGACTATATATTTAAATAACTCAGTTTTTTGTTTCCAAATTAAGCACATTTTTATTCTAAGTTCAGTAAACGTAATTCCAAAAATAGTATTGTATTCATAAGTAATATTGAAAGAAAATGGTGTATAGAAAGTTAATCAAAGTGATTTGTAAACTGAAGCCAATATTTGTGATTGAATTACCTGCTTTGGTCTGCTTATTGTAAATTTCATTAGTATTAGAATATCTAGTCCCTTCAGATACTGATGAACTTTTAGTCATTCTTGTGAAAATCATTATCTGTGTAAATGGTTCATAAGATCATTCCAGTTAACTTTTACATTGATAAAATACCGCTACAATGTTTTGAAGGGACTGAGGTGATTAAGTGAAAGACACTTATTGCGTGTGGAAATGTTACAAGTGTTGAAGAACTTGGATTGACATGCATATACTCATTGATGAAGTGTTTTATACATAAATTAATTATTTTTAACTAAATATTTCTCTAAACAAAACTTAATGATATTTTAGTTTTAAGTTTAATACACTTCAAATAAAACCATACCACTAAATTGTAAAAAGAAAAACATTATGGTATGATTTATCAAATATGTATACTATAAAGTATACTAGGAAAGCAAGCACACAAGGTATGCCTTGTGGTCTAGGAGCAACTTTTTCAAAAATGCAAACTTGAAAATTAAAAAAAAATCCAAGATATTTTAGAATTTTTCTTGAAATATATTTCAGTGGCTATACATAGAAGCAGTAGTATTAATTGATAGTTTATGTATGTGGAAAGTTCAAACTATTTTTCATTAACTAATATGTAATGTATTAAGTACTTCATGGGTGTCGTACATCTACTCACGTGCACTTCAAAGCATTAAAAGAATAAAAAAGATCACACATATATTACTGTAGAATAGAATTTATATACCTTGTTTATGTTTTACTTGCAGATATTCCTGTATGCTTTATTGCCTTTATAGACATTTCTATAAACCATTTGTTCAAATAAACATTCCAGATGTTATCTTTATTACAACTACACATTGTACTAAAAGAGGAGGATATTGAATTTACAAGTAATTTCAGTGTAGATTTGAACAGTACGCACTTGGGGTGTGGCGAGAAAAACGTGGACTGTAGGAGGAATTTAGTAACTAAGGGCGGACCTTATGTTAGTGATGTTGAGGGAGTGTGCTTGCAGGATGGTTCTATATCAGAATAATTAAAAAATGTGTATACGTGCATTAGCATGTGTGTTCTACAGCTATACAGTATCTGCACATATACTTGCTTTATATGTATGTGTATACAGCTGAGGATGCAGAGCTTAGAGAATTAATCATGTTTAAATTGCTCTACATTAGCTCTTGCACAATAACATTCTAGCATTTTAGTTCATAACTTACTTACATAGGTAGTTATGTTGACAAAAATATTGAAACACATTTAAGCAAAACTTAAGTTCAACCAATAAGTTTGATTCCATTTTTACCTATGATGAAATAATGTATTACTCCAAAAATTAAATATTCTAGAGAAAGCATTTTCACAATACAGTCAGAAATAATAATAAAAAAAGGTTATAAGAAACTCCAAAACTAAAGAAATTTCATAGAATTTATAAAAATTAAAGTTTTAAAAGATTGTTTTGTCTCTGTTAACATTGCTTTTAACTTAAAATTTGATTCATTATGTGGTTTCTTGTTAAACTAAAAATAGAAACATAAAGAACAAAATGATTATTTTATAAAGATTTTATCACTTGGTATGAGCTTTGTTTGATTCTATTTTTTTATCAAAGCTTTAACATGTATAACTTTCAAATACATCATCAATAATGGAAAACTACCTTTCATCAACTTGCAAAACCATCAGGCATTCCTATCATCAATTTCAATTGACTGAATTGACTTTAGCTATTGCCTAACAGTTTGCAATGTTAATTCAAATTAAATAATATTAAATAATTTGGTGTTCAAATGAATAAATATTTTGATGTTAACAAAAATCCAACTTGTTTTTGATGTGTAATGACTTTTATATATTTGGTATAAATTACAGTTCACCACCTTAATCTAGTTCACACTGAAACAGTTATGTAATTGATGATAGACATATCTTAACTATTACTATGTTTGTTGTATTCCAAGCAGTCTGAGCCCTGGTATTGGCCAAAAAGCCTCAGCGACACTGGGTATAGTGTGTTTGACATATTATTACATCCTTCTTTACTGTCACTCATAAGTCCTTTGTAATCATTGTTTAGTACAGTATCCTTTGAAAGTTCTATAGTGAATCCATCACTAAAGTAATGACAACAGGTACTTAACATACAAATCACTGAATTTTAATGTAATGGTAAATTCCAGTAGAAAAGAGTACTGTTGAGAGTGATCGTGCTTCTGACAGAAATGCTATAATGGTTATTCTACAAGCCATACAGTTCCGAGAATATAAAAGTTGGTATTTTCAGTAGCAACAATTGATTAAGATCTGATGCTACTAGATACCTCTTGTATAACTATGATTACCTATTAAGGGCAGAAGTTTTTTGCCCTGTAAAATTATTAACTATGTAATGTTCATCAATATCTAGATACAACAAAGCTGTATTATAGGAAGACATTGACTTTATTTTACTATTCTCAGTTCACAATTTTTATTTACTTGTTGCATTCACTATGTACATTTGTAGATGTAGTTCACTAGGTTTTTTCACATTTAAATTCACTATAAGACTAATTACAAAAATGTAATCAATATATCAGGAATATAGTAAAAAAACATTAAAACCTTTTAGCAAAATACTTTTAGGTGCTAGTATTTGAAAAATATTGGCTTGTTTTACTCTTATAAGAAAAAAAATTATAAGATGTAATAGGTCATTGACATTAATGGTTGTTTTAAGGCTACTGTTGAGGTTATTTATGACAACACAACCATTTTCATTAAGTTCAACCTTCAAGTTTTAAATATACAACCCTTCAAAAAGATGTAACAGAAATGAATTGAATAGTTATGAAGAGATCATCAGTCTAGTTGATTTTAACAGAATTTAATTGCACCCCTTATTTATCATAGCTTCCCATATATATTTTTATTTTAGCCTATAAAATGAGTCAGAACAGATTAAAAACAGATTTTCGTACTTATTTTTTACTATTTCCACATTTTTCACAAATTTTTAGGAAAAAAAATGCTATTTTTAAAATTGTATTGAATAATGTTATTGATAAATTGCAGTATGTTTAATGGAAAACTCATGTTTATTCTGTTTAAGATAATTTCCATTACACTATTTCTAAACTTCTACTAGAGTAGTATACAAGTAAAAGGAAAGTTAAGGTTATTTAGAAGCTTTAAGATATTGACAATGATTTTAAACCTAGATTGGAGAAGTTTGGTGGTTTAATAAAAGGTATGCGTCTTCTTGCCCTGTATACCTCTTATTAGGAGCTGTCCAATAGTCTTAATTTAGCACTTGGAAATACTATTGTAATGTAAAGAGCCATATTTTATGTAATGATTATTTAAAAACTGAATTGTTTATTCACTTTGTATCTAATTAGAGTGAATTTACAACTGAAGTAGAACTTTCGTTATTGTTAAGTTTAGGAAGAGATAGTCCAAACTTTTCACAACAAAAACGTCATCATAACAGGCTTATGATATTAAGATGTAAGGGTAGGTGTAAAAATCCAGAGATTGACATTGAGATCAGTGAATGAATTAATGTTATTTGTTGAAATTGTATGAAATATACTCCAGTTTGAATTGACATGAAAATAGTAGTTGATGGAGATGATATTCGTGATTATGAATTAAAAATGTAACTCTGCAATAAGTTGTTACTAATTAAATCTATTTTGTGCTTCTAATTGTTGACTTGCATATCGCTATACTTAAAATGTAAGAAACAAATTCCATATGTGGCTAGTAACACTGAACATGAATTAATCATCCAACTTTTTAAATATTTCATTAACTGGGAAGATAATGTTTGATCCTATGCAAAAGTTCTAGAACAAATCTTTAATTGTGTGGAATTTATGGGAAAACTCTTATGCTATGCTCGTGATATACTTTGTTCACCGTGGTGTTATTTTAAACGCGCTCACTATATGCTCATAAAATACTTTAAGTGTAATAAACATATTAATGCTGTGTGTGTGTGTGTGTGTGTGTGTGTGTGTGTGTGGAAATACAGGGATGTTTCGAAAAGGTTTGCACATCTTTTTAATATTACCGAATTCTTTCAAGGAAATTAACTAATAAATATACCATATGGTGAACCTTGCGCTGATATTGTATATTTGGATGCACAGACTAACATATTGGTAATATCAAATTGTAACGTAATCCCATTTAGATGTTTTAAAATTGCTGCGTATGTTATTAACTTCCAAATGTGGTAAAGCGGCGGTAGTATGCCTTGCATTGCGATTTCCTTTTGTGGTCTGCGCCAAAAACATGAAAAAAATCGTTCGTATATAAGATATTATCCCAGATTTCTTGGATCGATTAGTTAATACTAAACCTTTTTCATTTGTCATAAGTGAAATGTGACTTGTCATTACAACACGAGCAAGACTACATGCGTTTATTGCAGGACCATATATATATTGTAATTCAGCCACATCATGCAGCT